GTAGATCACTGCTACGTTGCCATTCACGAAGCTTTTGAGCTCGCTTTCGAAGGGGTTTCCGAGCACGCTTATGCGACAACTGTTGGAGGACCGAGGACATATGCAGAGGCAATGAAATTACCGCAGGACGAGGCAGAGAAATGGCATGAGGCAGCGATGCAAGAACTGCAATCATTAATGGAAATGGGCGTTTTCGAAATGGTGGAGTTGCCGCGCGGTCGAAAGGCGATCGGAAACCGGTGGGTCTTCCGCGTCAAGCTCAACGGAGACGGGACGGTAGAGCGTTATAAGGGCTCGTCTCGTCGCTAAGGGCTATGCTCAACGCCCAGGCTTTGATTTTACCGAAACCTTTGCACCAACGCCAAAGTGGGCGACCCTCCGGCTCATCCTTGCGCTTGCAGCCATCGACGACCTTGAGCTCTGGAGTGTCGACATCTCGTCCGCCTACCTGTACGGAGACATTGACGAGGACGTGTACATGGAATTCCCAGAGGGCACAACACGGTCCCAACCGGCCACGCACTAAAGCTGCTTAAGGCCCTCTATGGACTCAAGCAGGCAGGTCATCAGTGGCACCTCAAACTGCATGAGGTACTCGTGTCCATGGGATACAGACCGCGTGCGATGCGAACACAGCGTCTGGGTCTATCAGACTGAGAAGTCCGGGACCCGGATTATTGTCCCAGTCTTCATCGACGACATGACCATCGCAGCCAAATCCGTGGCCGAAAGCGCGCGCGTTCGTGGACGAGCTCAGCAAGCACTTCAAAGCTGCGAGATCTCGGCCCCACCAAATGGCTGCTTGGGGTCTCCATAGAGCGCGACCGCAAGTCGCGCACGCTTACAATGTCGCAAGAAGCAATATATTCTTGACGTCCTCGAACGCGCAGGCATGTCGGATTGCCAAGTCAATAGCCACACCTATGGACCAAAAGACTCGGTCTGAGCACAGACGACAGCCCCCGATCAGCGGAGGACGTGGCACAGATGAAAGATATCCTGTACCTGCAGATTCTTGGTGCCATTGCCTACCTCGCCATCGCCACTCGACCCGACATTGCATACGCTGTTGGTGTTCTATCTCGGTTCTCAAAGAATCCCGGGTGGAGTCACTGGATCGCGTTAAAACGCGTACTCCGCTACCTAAAAGGCACGATGGACCAGAAGCTCACCTTCAGCGGGACGTTGCCCGAGCAGGGGGAGATCTTCACCACATACAGCGACGCAGACCACGGAGGAAACCCAGACAATGGCCGCTCCACCTCAGGCTTCGTGTGTCATGATGGGCGGGGGCGCCGTCAGCTGGTCCAGTCGATTGCAGCCTTCGTCACGCTTTCAACAACGGAGGCGGAGTACGTATCAGCAGTCTCGGCGGGACAGGATCTTCGTGGCTGCAGAATATGCTCGAGGAGATTGGGTACAAGCGCGAAGGTGGTGCGACGTTACAGATCGACAACCAGTCCGCAATCTCTGTTGCCAAGAAACCCAGACCACCACGGCAGAGTCAAACATCTTGATTTACGATTCTACTGGCTTCGGGACGTCCGTCCGCTGAGAAGGAGATCCTCATCGCGTATTGCCGCACAGACGACATGATCGCGGATGTGATGACTAAGGCATTAGGGCGCGAAAAGTGTCGATATAATGTGCAGATTGCTGGGTTTGAGATGACAGACGCGTCCTGTCGCGGGGGAGTGTTGAGATAGACGACACGGACGCTGGAACGTAGTTATACTTGACGGATCAATCCTGGCCGTATATAGCAACTGCGTCGGAGTAGTCGGGCTCTTTGGCACTGACTGCTACGACGCAGGTATGTATTCCTTAGCTACACTAATACATGGCACTGACTGCTACGACGCAGTCCCTTCGTAACTCCTTCCGCGCTCAACATACATACCTCTATCTCATTCCATGTCAAGATTCCGAATCCTTTCTTGAGCAGCTCGACACTCGGAGCGATGAGCTTCCTCGACACTATCTTCTCCCCGCCCCAAAGCTCCCCATTCTCCGCCATCCTTCCTCTCCCCATACGCCAGACAGAACGTAGTCTGCACAGCCGATCTTTCGCCACCTTCGCCGCCACCCTCCTCGTCCCGGCGCGTCAGCAACACACTCTCTTCGTTACGATACCATAGCACCTCTCTTACCCGATCTCCACGCTCCACGCTCCACTCCTTGTCGACAAGCCTCATCGTCCCTTCCATGCCTGTTCTCAGGGCAACGAAAGCCCAGGAAACGGAAACACGAAACGCGTCGACCCAGGTATATCACCATTGCGAGGCGGCGGTACATGACGAACGAACCCACGCCTCGTCACAACGCATCCACCTTACAAGGAATCTGAGACGACAAAAGTCAAGAAAGGACCCGGTGTCGACGTCGGACGGCAAACAGCCTCGCTCGAGCGAAAAGACAGCGCCCGTACGGGTGTCTGCGGAGAGAAGATGACACGTCGTCTGCGCCAAATTCGCCGAGCCCATATGCTTGGGTACGTATGTCTTGACGAACTCCTCGACCTTGATCCTCTCCCGTTCTCCACCATTCTCTCCACCTACCCAAGCGCGCAGCAGAGAACGGCATTCCCGCACACCCAATCCAATCTTCCACGACTCTCTTCTCTCGTCCTCCTCGTCCCGGCGCCGCAGCACCACACTCTCTCCTAGACCTCTTCTCCCTCGCAACACGATACCGCCTCTCTCAACCCCGACTTCCCCGCTCCCTCCACCACCACGTTGTCGACAGCACTCATCCTCCATTCCACGCCCGTTCTCAGCGAAACGAGAGCCCATACAAAACGGACGGACACCAACCGCGTTGATACAGGGCGTGGCGTGGACGGACCGTCGAGTGGGTACATATGGATAGAGGATACGCTGCGGCTAAGGGCCAATGCGACGAGGGGTAGGTGGGGGCGGGATGGAGTCTCGATTTTTTCGGGAGTGTGAAGGTCAAGCGCTGATGTAGCGCTGGCCGCTGGCGTATACTCTGAGACTCGAGCGAGCAGCCGTGTAGAGACTAGAATGAGGAAACATCAGCAGTCAATCCTCTATCCATGTCCAAGACAACGGAGATATACTTACATACCTTCGCTCTCTTGAATGCACGTCTAGTCAGATTCACCCTTCAACTTCCTCTTCCTCTCGCCTTCCCCTCCTCCGCCTTCACATAGTAGCTTGTATAAAGTCGCAGCGGCCGTCGCCGTAACCTTCTAAGACCATGATATTCAGCGAAATCGCATTGCGGCCTTGTCTACCTGCGAGGGGTCATTCATCAACGTCAGCGTGCCGACCTTCTGAGTGAGTTGCTTGGGTACGTACCAACGAAGCTCACTCCCTCCTCACCCGTCCTCTTCCCGTCGCCTCCGCTTGCCCTTGTTCTTGGGCCACCGTTATTTCCCTCATCCCTCCCCGCGCAGGCAGAACCACCACACCACACCTCCCCCGTCCGGCGCCCAACTCGAACCAGCCTCCGCTCGTCAGGCCGCACGAGCGTAAAGCCAGCAAGTACAAAATGGAAGAATGGATGGATCTCCATCGACGGCGGAGGGGAGCGAGGGTGTTGAGGTGGGTGCTTTGAGCGGCGGCGGAATCTAAGATGTGGCTGACGACTCGAAGATGCAGCTGTGAGTGAAAGATGACGAGTCGTTAGCGCGCCAATGTTTCTTCCGAAGATAGAGCTTGGGTACATACCCATTCCCCATCTCATCTCATCTCATCGTCTTCGCCTTCGCTCTCAAGACGGTGCAGACCAATCGCCTTCTAACGCTTCCTTGTGCACGTTGAAAAACGCCGTACACGCAGCCGACGGCCTTCGTCACCGGCGGTACTCATTCGTCTTCCTCGTTCGTGTGCGGGTTCCGCACCAACGCCCGCCCTCTGCTGCCCCGCCACATCTATGCTCCATACCCGACATCCCGCCGCACCAGTACGCGTCGAGATCTGGGTGTACGATGCAGGAGCACTCGAAAGGATATGGAGAAACTGATTCTCCATCAGAACGCAGAGCGCGCGAGGGAGAGCGAGTCGGGCGAGTCGAGCCGGGGCTGCACTTCTTGTGTGTGGAAAGATGGGGAATGGAAGATGGGAGGAGATGGAAGACGGAAGAGACCCGCTATAGGTGCGTAAGTAAGCACTGATTGACTATATGGCGACGAATGCTCAGCGCTCACCTATCTACCCGGTCGATTGACGAATCGGCGACGTGGCGCTTCCCGGGAAGACCTTCAGGTTGGTGTATCGAGGAGTCCACTCGATGAGGTGGGACGTTCGTCTTTTCTTTGCGCAGAAAGTGTACGGGAGGAGAGTAGGAGAGGCGGGGGTGGTGGACGTCGTGGTGACAAGGAGGCGGGAAAGCGGTAGATTATAGATATGCATAGCGGACGACTGACTACACATTCCAGAATCAGACCAACGAAATGGACTAGTAAATATCTCAGCGTACTCACAAGCCGTATTTCTCCCAGCAGCCCCCAATCTATGGAGTGGTGCCGAGCGCATTTGGCGGTTAATCACTTGGAGATGCACTGGCACCTCGTCGGCTGCTGGAGCGTACGAGTTGGAATGAGAGGTGCAGCGCCGTCCTCATGTCGGACGGTCTTCGTCAACGATGAGGTCAAAGGTGTCAAATGAGTCATAGTGCCCAGCAGGACTTGAAACGAGGGATTATTGACACGTTGCCGATGCAAAGAAAACTCGAAGACTCGAGGTAGACGCGGAGGAGATGAGCGGGAACAAGAAAGGCTTGTGCGCGGTTACCGAATGATCAACAAATGTTGGCCGGTCGGACCGGCAGCCGAGCTGGAAGAGGAACGCCTCAGCTGGCAGCGGTTAATAAATTAGGGGAACGAACCTCACACAGTAAGTAATCTCCTTTCGCCGCTGGAAGGTGTTTGCAGTCGATGAGAAAAAGACGGGGAAGTCACGAGGCGGCGGTTTGCCATGGAAAGAGAATTAACTTCAATCCACGGACGGCGAGCAAAAGAACAACGCCAGGATGTATGCATTAAGGGGGAATCGAACCCCCGGCGGGTCGAGAGTCCAAACAGACTTCGTACGCACCCTCGTATGGCAACGACCCAGGTTACCACTACCCCATTAATGCCTTCATCTAAATTCGCAGCTGACGTGTCTGAATTAGTGTCCAGTATACCTATTCTAGTTGCAACAAGATCCTGAGCAAAAAATTGCAATAAAGCATTCGGAAGCCAAGGAAGAGTCGCTGACAGACAACTGAAGACGGCTGCTGACGGAGGGAAGACGAGTTGCCACGAAAGTCCGATCAAACTTGTCTTTGTGTGTCCTAGATTGGTCTTGTGTACATTTCCGCCCGATTCGGACTTGCCTTCTTCCTCCATCCAGTTTTTTACGCTCGAGCCTTCAAGCATTTCTCTGCCCCCAAAAACTGGCGACTATCTATCAAATGGTGCTTCTCACAGAACATCATGAGCTCAATCTCGAGAGCGGAGCCAAATTAACTCACAAACATCGGAATCGACTCAAAAAGACTCAAAATTAAAATCGAGCTCGTCCTAACAACTTGAAACCTCACCGGCCTCACCTTTCTAAAGCCACCGTCCGATTCATGCTCTAAGGCTGCAAAACTCGATCTAGCCACAATTTACTCGCTGTGATTCGAGGGCTCTCTTTTTGAACAAAATTTAAATTCCATCTCTTTGTTTCAACGACCCCCTGGCTACTCACAACCGCTTCTCCGGCTTTTCAATATAAACTGGTTCGACATGATCCCCTCCCAAATTCGTCTTTACGCACCATACCGCTCTCCAAAAATCCCCTCCTCCATAGCCTTGATTTCTTCATAATCACTCATGAGCACCAACCCACACAGACAGCAAGAGAAGAAAAGACAACATACGCAACGCAACATGCTTCGAGTAAAACCTCGACATCGCCAGATTGCCTGCGTTGAAGATCAATCAAGATGAATTCCAAAAACGAATCCGAACCCGAAGAACCGAGAAAAAGACCACCCACCCATCATATACCAAAGCCCGCGCACGCCCATCCCCCGCCACGCCCCATTCACCTCCCCCTCCTCATCGAGCCCCCACACCCGCGCGCACCGATCCCCAACGGTGTCCCCGCACACTTTGCGTATCGTATTCCGCGCGTCGCCGAAGCTGCATTTGAATTCAAAGTTATGGTATCAGAAAGCCCATATCAATGAATATAAGCTTCAGTATGCCGAACGCAACTCACCCCGTCGCAAAAACAACCACATCCGCCTCCACCTCACTCCCATCCTCGAACCTAACCCCGCGCTCCGTAAACCCCGAAATCTGGCTATCGTTCTTCAACTTGATCTTGCCCGAGATGAGCAGTTCGCTCGCGCCAACGTCTACGCAAAGCTCAAGTATCAATAAAGCAATTTGAATTAGCAAAGATGGAAGCTTGAAACTCTCACCTAAATAATACCCTCCCCCCCTCTCAAACGGAAGCAACCCACTCCCCGTCCCCTCAATCCCCATATTCACGCGAAACCCGCACCCGCGCAGCCCATCCAGCAGTTCTCTGCCATCGCCAAATTAAAATCAAGTTCAAACTCGAGGAAGATCTAAGACATCGACTCACCTATCAGCCTCCGCCACCGCGCCCGTCAACCGCCGATACATCTCCACCACCGCCCTCGGCGCCAACGACGCCCCATCCCGATCCGCCTCCTCCGTCGGCGGCCCGCCCTCCCAATAGCTCGGCTTCATGAGCGCGGAAAGCCCGTGGCGCGTGCTCATGACGTAGGTCGAGGTGCGTTGGTACATCGTGACGTCTGGAGTGGTTGTAAGATTTCATAAATGTTATTAAGTGAGTATGAGATTTAGAGGAGATGAGGAAGAATGAACTTGAAGACGGACCGATGCCCTGGGAGTAGCAATCCGCCGCGACGTCGTGGGCTGCAAGCAATAGTAAGGATTTATGTAAAAGAGACAGAGAAAGAGAAGAGAATAGGAATTGAATGAAAACGCACCGGAGACACAAGCCCCAATTACAACCACCTTCTTTTCTTTATACCTTTCGCTTCGTTTATATTCCGCCGAATGTAGCATCTCGCCTTTGAACGTATCCTTCAAGATCACAATGTCAATCAATCAACCAACAAAGAAAGAATGAAAAGGCAATGAAAGCCAAACGCACCATCCCAGGAAACGACGGAACATTCAACTGCCCGCCGCCCCACCCCGTAGCGAAGACGACATGATGTACGTTGCTGAATACGCGCTCCGCGCCGTCGCGGTTGATTACGACCTTCCAATTTCCCGAGGAAGAGGACGGTTGGGCGGCGAGAACGGTGGATGAGGTCCATACGTCGAGGTCTAAGGCGTCGGCGTAGGTTTCTAGCCAGTTCGCGAGCTAGAATAGGAATGAATATGTAATAAATCGAATGATAGCGAAATTTATTTCAAGACAAGGTCAAACTCACCTTCTTCGCCGGCGTATATATCGGCCAGGTCGATGGGAATCTATTATATATCTCAACATCAGTGAAAACGAACTAGCCGCAAAAAAGACCAAGCAAGTATAACGAAGATAACAAATACGCACGGCAAATAAGGCATATGATCATACCACACCGGATCGTGCAACCGCAGCGCATCATACCGATTCCTCCAATTATCCCCAATCCGCGCGTTCTTCTCAACCACCAAAGTCCGAACTTCCAGCGACTTGAGACGCGCTGCGAGCGCCAGCCCGCTGTGTCCGCCGCCAACGATGACGACTACAGGTGATTCATTGTCAGCAGCATTTCGAGATTCCGCGTGACTCCCTGGCGCAAACTCTGGCCGCAGCGCCCCAATCCTCTCAAGAAACCCCTCCAATCCCTCCAAATTGGTGTACATCCCCCACGCCCGCCACACCCCGTCCGATTGCGGCACCAGACGCACAATCCCCGACGCATTTCCGACGCCCTTGACGGCGAAATCGAATGAGATGCGGATCCACGCGAGGTCGGGGCCGAGGGGCTGCAATGCAGAGTCCTGGACGCGGAAGTTCGCGAGCGAGGCAGGGAGGAGGCGGTCTGCGAGGAACTTGGCGATGGAAGCAGAGCCGTGGAAGGTGCGGAAGTTCCATGTCAGCGCAAGCATGTCGCGCCAGTAAGAGTCTTGAGTGAAAAGCGCTGTCACTGCGAGGGCGTTGCCTTCCTCGGCGTGCTGAGAGAAGGAGCGCATCCATGTAGCGGCGACTTGCTCGACGTCGACGTCTGTCGGCACTGTCGCGTTCAGTCTTTCGAAAGTGGGTAGGTGGAAGTTGGGCATGGTGTGCTGGTGTGGGACGGGGAAGTTATTTGGCGAGGCTTTTGCACTGAGTCTTTCTTGATAAGAGAGTGGGGGGTTCGACCCAGGGTTTTCCGGGACCAGGGTAACTCCAAATTCATTGCGCTAACGACTCCATGATGTCGAAGCGGCCCTTACGCGAGAGATGACAAGAAAAAAACTGATTGAAGCCTGAGATTTGCGCGTGAGAGGGCCCGTCACCGACTGAGATAGGTACGTTGAACTCGAGACAAGCCTTGAACTTCTTCAAGAGCATAATCGCATCGGCGAGACGCAGAGTTGACGCAGAGACTTTGACAAGTGGCGGCATTGCTACGAATCGTTACGGTCAAGCGAGCAGCGCCGAAGAAAGAAACCGCATGCATTTCAGGCGAACAAAGCGGCGGCCGGCGGCGAGAAGCAACAAAAGTGAAACTTCAAGGAAACCTTGAAGAAAACAAGAGGGATAAGGTTCGTGCATCGCACAAGGCTAAGCAAAGAAGGTACGGTGATCGCCGAAAACCGGAACACCGGTAATTAAGAGACCGGTAATTATGAGTAGCCGGCCCGAAGACAGCTTGCCTTTGCCTTTCGTGCCGGTTGGTCTGCCCTCGCTCAACGCCGATACTGAGCCTTTCTTCTCGATAGCCTGACGCTCACACTCAAAAGGATTCTTCTCAGGGCCTGATCGGGTGCCTCCGATTCTGGTTCCAAATTTTTGGACCCCGAGCTTTCCCACCCAATTGCATCTCTAAATTCCCATAGAAGGTTTAGTTTATGGCCAAAAAGATACTTTCCGGTCGAAGAGTGGTGAAATATCGAGAGAGCAAATCAAATTGAACATTCTGAACTTGCGATCGGAATATTCTGGTTCAACTGCAGAATGTATACATCTTTTGCACTTGTAATTTTTTGGCCACTCTCGCTCCATAGAATTCAAAAATCGGTACAAATTACTCTATCTAGCATAGTTTAGTGACGAATGATGTCCAGAAAGGGCACAACAGGACCACTTCTTTCAGGTTCTGGAAGGTTTTCGGCCGAAATTCTGGTGCACCCGATCAGGCCCTCAGTTTGCTTAGAAGAACCAATCTGCCGAAGAGTTCGCGAAAAGACTCGACGCTCCAAATTTCTCCGTACGCGAGCACACAGCATACTGAAAGTCTTGTTGGTGCCCGGTTGCCTCCTCGTTGTTATTGCCTCATACTTGTTTTTCCTGGGATCTGCTTCAGATCGGGCCGAAATCAAAGTTCCTCAAATTCCGTGCGATGAATCAATCACTTACTATTCCGGTACATGTCTTGATTTTCTACAGCGTCGACAATGGCCATCTCTCATTCTGCTCTAGCCAGGAATGAGCTCTTGCTGCTGCATGACTTGGGAGAAGACCTACTCATAGAGATTCTGTCGCTATGTGACGTGCATTCCGTCCTTTCGGTATCAGCTGTGCGTCTAGTCTGAAACTACTGGCACCTGTCAACCCGGACCTCGGGAAAACGTGACTTTTCCCACGTCCAAATTGGCAAGTGAAGCGTCGTTCGCCCACCTTGACTGAGTATATGGTTGTATCTTAGTACTCTGTGCATTTAGACTACTATATGGTGCCCTTAGGTAGCTTTCTTTGATAATTTTCAGGAACAATTGGAGGGTTTTGCGGGTTCCATCAAAATCAGTTGAACATGCATTTGCGGTCCACCCTCAACTATATTGAAGATGGAAATTAGGCTGGCACTGTCTAATGCATTCTATCTACCACTACATACCCAACCTGCCGCCCTAATACTGTACCATTTCGATCAATTCTCCCGGCCTGTGACGCGTGACCCAAATATTCGAA